TTTTACTGAAAAGAAACGTTATCTTTTTCACAAAGCCAATGAAAATCCGCTAAAATTCCAGCCCTCAGCAAATCCGACGGTTTGGTAGAGTTTTTTCGAAGCAAAATACGGATGTGTCGGCTTTGCAGTTTGAAGCAGCTATGTAAAAAAAGTATCTTTCTTTCACGTTCTGGACCATCCGCTGCTCAATTTTTATCAACCACAATAGATGAGAACAAAAGTAGTCTTCCATTCACTTGCGTCAGTCAGTTTTAGGTGGAGAACAAGTTTCGCCAGTTGGCCTTTCTAGGATGGTTACATACTGAACCTATGACATCTTATTGCTTTTTTGAAATCTTTATTTGCTCTTCACCTTTCAGATGAATACCTAACAAACATCAAGAACTATGAAACAAAGTAAATAAAATGCAGGTAAAGTCGAAAAGTAGCATAGCAGGTATACCTCGTTTCTGCACAAAACAGTTTCTGTCACCAGTTGTCTTTCAAACATGATACTGTGGTGGCCGAAACTTTCGTAGATAGTAATTCAAATACAGGGTGGTCCATAAGTCCTTTGAAATTTCAAATTTGAATAAAATTTAACGGGTGAGCGTGAGCGGCGCGTGCGAGGTGGGGGCAGTATCTTCAGTGTCTGGGAATTCAGTCGCCATGGAGTGTTTCACTGGGGCGGATCGTGCTTTTTGTGTGCGCGCGTTTTATCAAAATAATGTTTCGGCAACCATTGCGCGGCGTAAATATCGAGAATACCACAATTTACACAATTTTACAAAGTGTCCAACAGCTCAAACGATTAAGAACTGGGTTGCTAAGTTCGAAGAGACTGGTTCGACGTTAGATAAACAGCGGTGGGGTCGACCAACGACAACTCGTATTGAAGAAAACATCAACATTGTGGCACAGTCTGTTCGTCAAAATTCTACCCAGTCTACTCGTAAGCGTTCCAGTGCACTAAACGTACCCAGAACATCTTTACAGCGGATTTTAAGGAAAGATTTACGTCTGCACGCTTACAAAATTCAGTTAGTGCAGGAATTAAAAGATAATGACTCTATTCAGAGACTAAACTTTGCGAATGAAATGTTGAATCGATTTTCTTCGCTCAATAATGTGTTGTTCTCGGACGAGGCTCACTTCCATTTAAACGGGCATGTAAATAAACAAAATTGCCGTTATTGGAGCCCCGAAAATCCAAGGCGTAAGCATCAGAAGCCCTTACACAGCCCTAAAGTTACAGTTTGGGCTGCTATGTCAGCGCATGGCATCGTAGGCCCTTATTTTTTTGAGGACGACAGAGGTCGCGCATGAACTGTTACTTCGGAGCGGTATGTAGCAAAGATAGAGGAGTTTTTGACAACAGCGTTGCAGAATTTTCCAGGCTATAATACGCAGACCTGGTTTCAACAGGACGGAGCAACTGCCCACACCTCCAACACTTCTATGCCCGTCGTCTGTCAACTTTTTCCCAGCAAAGGAATTTCTCGAAGAGGAGACATTTCCTGGCCACCACGTAGTCCAGACTTGACCCCAATGGACTTCTTTTTATGGGGCTACCTCAAGAGTAAAGTGTACGACACCACTCCGCGATCAGTTGATGTCCTGAAAGAAAATATTCGAAGAGAAATGGCAAGCATTACAGTGTTGACTTGCCGCGCAGTCATCGACAATTTTAGACGTCGTTTATATGAGTGCCGTGATCGTAATGGATTGCATTTAGACGATGTGATTTTTAAAACATAATTCCCATTCAATAAAGATGATAACAATATATAATAATTCTTCATAATGTAACTAGTTTGGTTTTATTCCTTTTTTTCCAGCTCAAAGGACTTATGGGCCACCCTGTACTTTTGTCAAATCTACGCAAGGATAATTTTAGTTTATAGGTAACTTCCCACATTAGAATTGGTCTCGCCACGACCGCCAGCAGCTCTGTGCTTATTTTGTGTAAACTATTTTTAAGGCAGCTCTTAAACCTATAGGATTCGAATCGAGTGTTCCTGATGGCCATGGCATGGTAGCGATTCCATTAGGCAAACTTTCTGCAATCGGAGCAGCATATGGTTTTGCTTTTTCCTACCTTCCACAAATATGTAGGTATGTCAAATACCAATTTTCCAAAAATGTAGTATCTAAGTATGGTATTAATCTTAATTCAGTATTATAGCTGATTTCCACAGTAAAAACATATACCTAGCTGTTTCTAAAGATGTAGATAACTATTTATTTGAAAGTAGCTTAAATACACTGACCTGTCGAAATCCATCAAGCCGTTAGGACTGTAGCACGTGAAATAGAAATTTCAAGGTTGAAGTTAGCCAGTGTCACTGACTCTGGCGAGGCAAATCTAGAGACACCTCATATGACAAAATTCATGAATCCTGTTTAATAGGAATTTCATGGTTGATTTTTCTATTAAAATCCGCCATTCGCACTAAACCTAACGAATCTAGCGCCAACCACAACCACGCGGCAGGTTAGATGTCACCTTGAATATCTAAGGTCTTCTGGCCAGTATACTACATCGTGTAGGTTGGCTCTTGTTGGTGACTTCGTGGGTGAGTTTGTTCCCTCTCCATTTTTGTTTCCTCAGGTTACACCCGTATACATAATATATGTGCATTCACTTCGAGCCTGATGAAGCCAACAAACAGAAACAAGCATTGCTTAGGTTTTCTATCCTTTTTTTCTTCTCATGTCAACTGTGCTTCTTTTTGCGTAATCGTTCATAATTTTTTTATTTTGTTCTATTTGTTGTATGCCTTTCTCCGCATGATTGTTCCTCTGCTTTTTGAAGATCCTTTGGGATCAAATATGTCCTTTTTCATGACTGGACCTGACTTTTATTGTGAGTCAAACTTCGTAATGGTTTAATCGTAAGCATCACACACTTTTCGTCATTTGTTTGTCTGGGCGGACCGTAGGACCTTTGCCCATTAGTCACTGTCTAATGTACGTTAGGCGAGTCTGTCAGTACTGGTTGCCCAGAAGCCAGACAACGTCAAGGAAAAAGAGAAAGGGAAAGAGAAGAAAAATGGAGAAGAGCAAAGAAAAACAGAAGTGTTTAGTTTAAGAGGAGACACCTAATGTTTTTGACTTGATACACGGATTAATTTTGAGGTGAACTAAACAAATTTTGATTCGGTTTTGTTAGAGTGTAATTTTAAGTTTACTAAAAGTTAGCGCTCATTTTTTATTACAGTGCGTGGCCTTGAATGTTTACGAACTTGCTCCACTGTGTAGTCCACTGAGTCAGGCAAAAGAGGGTTGCTGTCCGCTTAACTATAACGTTACTGCGCCTGAAGTTTGACATAATCCCTCAAGCAAGGAATGTCAAGGCGTCTGTGGTCGTTTGAGACATACCATGGAGCGTTGCAAACTGTTCGCAAAGTTCAACTTTACAGTACTTGAAAACTTTGCCTATGTGTCTTGGCAAGAAAACACCTAGCTGCACATGCATAAGTAATGGCTGGTCTAATAATCATTTTATATAGGCGAACTTTGGTTATCAAACTCAATTTGGCGGATCTACATAACAAAGGATATAGTTGCAGAAACGCAATTTGGAGTTTTGTTTTCAAGGCTGCTGTATGTTTCTGCCAGGTCATGCCTTTATCAAGGGTGACACCGAGGTACTTGCCAGAATTTGTCCATGGTACACGATTGCCGTCTACAGAGACCTCTGCTGGGGGGCCGCGACGTTTTTTGGTACAATAAATAGCGTGCGTTTTCGAATGATTAATTTTAATCAGCCACCGTTCCGACCACACTAGTACTTCTTCCACCGCACTCTGCAACCCATCGTGAAGCAGATCACTAGTACACGACAAGTGCAGTGTCGTCAGCATAGAGGTAGACTTCTCAGTTGCTGGGGCAAGGGACACCATGGATAAAAAGCAAATAAAGGATTGGTCCTAGGACCGAACCCTGAGGAACACCGGCCCGTACTGGCTTTGTTGTTGACAAAACATTGTTAATTTTGATCCGAAACTTCCTTCCTTCAAGAAAGGATTTCAATAATTTTAGAAGCCAAAAAGGAAAACCCTTTTCGATTAGCTCATAAACACATCTTCTCAAAGGCTTTTGAGACATCCAAAAGCAAGATGCCAGTACTCATACTGAGGGTGAACCCTCTGGTTACATGTTCCACAAGCCTGACTGCCTGTAGCTCGGTGATATGCTCGGACCGAAAACGGAATTGAACGTCAGGAATCACATGGTGATTTGACGAAAAATTCTCAAGGTGACGATAAATCACCTTTTCGGCGAGCTTAGAAAGAGCTGATAGCAGACTTATGGGATGGAATCCTGAGGAAATATCGAACCCACCTTCATTGGAATCATGATGACCTCAACAGTCTTCCACCCAGCAGGGAAGTGCTGGATTCTGAGCGTCGCATTGACTATTGTCACCAAATATGTCAGGGCTTTCGGCGAGAGCAGCTTCAACGCCTTGCTGGTGATTTGATCCTCCCCAGGTGCTTTACGCACCTTGAGGTCTTTAATATGAGTTAGGAGCTCCGCTGGTGTGCAATGTGGAAACTCGGATGGTTCCGTCGTAAGTATCATCATAAGGGCATCTAATTTTTCGGAAAGAAAATCGAAAAAACACGTGGCTAAGTAACAGGAAACATGAGTGTGGGCTTCAGCTCGTATTTTTGTACCTGCACGAATGTTTTTTGTTAAAATAATATTGCTTTGCATTGTGTTCGATTTTTTACAGGAAAGAATTAGATGCCCGAATGGTAACTGACAAGACTACTTCATAAGTAAAACATTATTCTGCTTACACCTAGCTTACAAATTTACGATAGAATCAGAAAAATTGTTTAGCGTCGTTTTCTAATGTCCTAGGAGACCACAATTACCTGTTATCAAAGGTGTTGACAACAGCTGTCAAGTATACTCGAAAAAACTGCTGTAATTGTAATTCAAAATTGCGCGCTTGTGATTGGTAGAAATTGAGGCGAGAGAAATAGTCAAATGAAAACGGCTAATTTCTACTACATTTTCATCTATTTTATCACTGAGAGAAGAATTCAACAGGATTACTTCACGTCCTACGGTTAGTGGACTAGGGATTTCCAGAAGCCTGAAATCTTCCCGCGGGAAAAGCTCTATCAACAGTTATATTCTTCTGATAATAGGAACAGCGTGTGGGGTCCCGCGAGAAAGTGTTAATGCTTTCTCAGCTCTGTCCTAAAATATAAAATTAGAGTGAAAAGACACATGAGAACCGTATTTACCGTGATTGTAATGATAGGGAACCATTGTATAGGAATAACCTCACACAGGTTGCCAAGTTTGCGGCATATTCATGCACTTGTCAGACGTTGCCAGAAAATTCTGAGGTCTCCAGGTAAAAATGTTATCTGCTATAGTTGTAGTCACCGTTCTTGGCGGGTCAAAGTAAGGTTAGCAGTATCCCTTTATACAGGGTGTTCCTTAATTATATGCGAATATTTAAGGGTGTGAATCTACATGAAAAATTAATGTTACTTTGCTTTATAAACTATGGTCCAAAAACGTTTCCTTTCAAAAACTCGGAGTGTTGAAGTTTTAGGAAATAAATGGAAATTAATTAATATCTTCATAACCGCTTTAGATATTTCTCTGATATTTAGTACGTAGTGAAAGTTAATAAAGTTGCATATTTTTCATTGCAAAAACAATTTTTAGCTTTAAATATGTCACTGGTTTTTGACATCTGTCAAGTCTCTGTTATTCAAATCTGTTCGCTGTGACATCTTTTTCATTATTTAGCTTTTACAACCTTGTTAATAATGGTTAATTATTCAAATGCAGAAGTGGCGGAAATGCATTACGTATATGGCCTTGCCGACGGTAATGGTGAGCAAGCCAGACGGATCTATCATATACCGATCGTACTTTGCCAGATAGTCAAACCTTTTCTAATATTCATCGTCATCTTGTTGAAACTGGTTCTGTCCGAAAAGGAACATCTGAAGGTAGACCTCTAAGTGCGAGAACACCTGAAATTGAGGAAGCAGTGCTGCACAAAGTCGAAGAACATCCTCAAACGAGTAGAGTTAAGTTGGTGAATGTGGAATACTTTTCATTTGAAGCCTATAATTCCATACTAATTTGAGGCATTCAAATAAATCAAGTAGTTCCGATATCGGTGAGGCTCTGTCAAGTCGCTGGAGTAATTTAAGTCGCATATTTTGCAAAAATGAAATTATGCGAAGCGTGTAATATGTAGCCATGGAGAATTGGTATGGTAATGTGGAATGCTACTGAATAGTAGAATAACATATTATTTTCTGACCAATTGTGTTCATATATTTCTTTGGAAGGAATTTTCTGAAATAAAAAGTCACAGATAGTCCAAAACATAAACAAATTCAGTATCCTTAATCAGTAGGCCCGGAACACTCGTATGGTTGATGATTTTAAATATTCCACAATACTATTCCACCCTCACTTAATCTCAAGTTTATAGCTATAATTAATAATTTGATAATTAGTTCACACATAATTTGATAATGCATGTATCTAAGGCTTAACAACAAATAGTAATCATTAGAACAAGGTTATACTTTTCCTAGAAATACAAAAAAATGGCAGCCAGTCCAATGTTTCAATATTCACGTTTACAGGTTTCACCAACTTTTTTGAGGTTATTCTCCTTAATCGATAAAATAGCTTGTATCAGATAGTTACGCTGCTGATTCAAGAGTAAATAATGCCATGCAAGTGTAGGTGTCGCTACTGGTTTTGGAGATATCTGACTGTTTCACTCTGTCTCTGACTCTATTAACTTCCACTACGTACTAAATATCAGTGAAATATCTCAAGCTCAAAGACATGCTTTTTTAGTTCTGTGTCTTCGTTTCGAAAACTTTATCGTTACGTTGAGTGTCCTTCAATCACATTTGTCAGAGTGACAACTTACTTGGCATAGGCCTGCAATTTGAGTTGTGTGTTATCAATCTTCAATATAAAATTGAACAATGCCCGGAAATACGATTAATGTAGAAGGCCCACAGCTCGTGCTAAATATGTTACAGTATTTCCAGGAAGAGAATGAAAACAGCGATCCCCTGTTACCCACTTCATGCGTACTGGACAGTAGCAGATGCGCTGCAGATTAGTCTGCGCAGTGTTCAGCGGATAAAATCAGAAAATAAGGAAGGTTTGCCCATAGTAACACCTGGGAAAATCAAAAAATGCAAGACCGATGATGTAAGTGACGCCATAAAAATTAGGAATGCTTTCTACGGTATGAGAACTAAAGGAGAACATTTCACGACCTCTGCGCTTAAGATCCGCCCATGATAAGGATAATCTTTACTTATTTCATATGGCGTTGATGACGTACCGCCAAGAACAGTGACTACAACTATATTTAAATTCACGTACTTAACCTCTGATCTCTTACGTCATTATTCATCATGACACTTATGGCAAGCGTATTTAATGCTACGCTTTCATTGTCGTTGGGAGCGTGACACACCCTGCATGAAGTTGACACGCGCAGTCGTTTAACGTGTAGTTTTCTGCGGGGTATATCAGGTATGAAGTGGTCCTGACGAGTTTTAGCAAGCAATTTTTTTACGCTCTCCCCGGATGATACGTGGTAAGGTTGTAGACTAGAAACAACAACAACAGTTTAATGGATTTACGTACATCTTACTCAAAAGTTTTACCTAGCTTCAAACAAATATTATGATCAAAATACAAATATCAATGAAACCAACAGTTTGAAATGTCTTTACATTTAAGGCGAAATGACCAAATTATAGGTGTTTTAAAAAAATCAGAAACGTTGCTGATGATCTCAAATATTTTTATAGAAAATTGTCTGCCAACGCTGTACTATGCTTTCGATAAAACTCACATAATATACGGCATCGTAGCCTGGGGTTCCGCTCGCAAAAGATATATTTCTGAACTAGGATCTATCCGTCACAATTTATATAAGCAAACGGGAATACTTGATAGTAGACAACCGTATTTCTTACATGTCGCGAACTTTATACCGTAAAAATTTTAACAAACAAGGTTTACATAAACACGAGCATGGTACACGATTGCAGGTCAGCTAATCAGATACCGAAATACCACACAAAGCATTGTTCAAAATATCATTCAAATTCATAGCAGCTACATTATACAGTGTGGCCCAACTAAAAGGTCGCCATTTGTGAGTCTTCTGGTATATTTTGGGAAAAAAACTCGGAAACGACAATCTGATTGATTTTTAGGGGGACGTCTTTTCATCTATAGATGTACAACAGAGGGTGATCCAAAAATAAGATTTTGCGTTACACTTTAAATTTTTAAATGAAAGCGCCCATTTTTAGATTTGCCATTACGTTTTTAGTAACTTTTGTATAATAAAATTGTATTGAAAATTAAAATTGGAATTTTGGGAATGTATTATATTGGTATACATATATGATTTTTGTTAGTAAGGTTAGTTAGTAAGGTATCATAAATCCACACACACTTAAGGGATTTTCCATATTTATTTGCCTATATAGAGCATGTTCGTATTTTGCTGAATAATGATAATACTAATATAATAATATAATAAAAGAAAAAAAGGAATCCGAGAAAGTTAAGTACAGGGATCTGTCCATTGAGATTAACAGAATGTGGCATATAATATGAAAACACAGATCGTACCTGTAGTGATAGGAGCAACGGTAGCAATATCCTATTATAACATCTAGAAATAATATCAAAATACCAATTTGTGGTATCGCACATATAAGAAAACCTTAACACTGACGCTCGACCATAGGGATGTGGTACATCCACGGTTAAAGAAGAGAAAATAATAATAATAGTAACATTATTATCATTTTAGTTTGATTTTTTACTTAACGACGCAGTGAAAGCCGCATACTCGGCGACGATGAAAATAAGGTAAATAGAGGTCATGTGTCCATAAATTACACTGGACAACAAATTTTAGTTTTTTAATTGTATCTTGTGGGAAAAGTGCACTTCTTTGTTAATTTTGGGGCGCTGAATCCAAAAATGACAATGAAATAAAAAAATTAGTTGCGGTTTAGAAAAAAAACTTTTTATTTTTAAGGATATATTAAAAAAAGTAACAAGATTCATATACTTATAAGAATCACTATATGCGCTGTCTTTTTGCTGTTCTTTTATGGATCGTTTCTGGAGCATCTCTACCAAGAGTCGAACAGTAGTCTGCAAGCATGGAAGGATTCCACTTTCCCTGGTACCTTTTTTCCATTGTTGAAATATCCTGATGAAAACGTTCGCCGTGCTCATCACTTACGGCTCCGCAATTGTCAGGAAAACAGTCCAGGTGTGAGTGTAGGAAATGTATCTTAAGAGACATATTACAGCCCATCTTTTGATACGATGACAGCATATTTTTGACAAGGGTTTTATAGCTGTCAGCTTTTCTATTTCCCAAGAAATTAGTGACCACCAGACGGAAATCATTCCAAGCAATTTTTTCAATACCTGTTAAAGTGTTTTCAAACTGTGTATCTTTCAAAATATTTCGAATCTGTGGTCCAACAAAAATACCTTCTTTAACCTTTGCCTCACTTAGTCTTAGAAATTTCTGACACAGGTATTGAAAAGCTGACCCTTCTCTATCTAATGCTTTGACAAAGTTTTTCATTAGGCCCAACTTGATATGCAGTGGTGGTAATAAAATTTTTTTCGAATCTACTAATGGCATATGCTGTACATTTTGTTGACCTGGCTCTAGGAATTGACGAACAGGCCAGTCTTGTCTGGTGTAATGAAGTGCCTTTGGCCGACTGTCCCATTCACACAAAAAACAGCAAAACTTTGTGTAGCCTAGCTGCAGCCCAAGTAAAAGTGCAACAACTTTCAAATCGCCACAAATATGCCATTGGTGCTCATCGTATTTTATGCATGTCAATAGGTACTTCATATTGTCATATGATTCTTTCATGTGAACTGCATACCCTACAGGAAGAGATGGTAAAATATTTCGAATATGCAATAACACTGCCTTTAAACTCAATGTTGAACTGTCTATAAACAATCTCCATTCTTCTGGGTTATAGTTTATATTTAAAGCCGCCAGTAAGCCGTTAATGTTACTGCAGAAAACCAATGTAATTCTCCATATTGAAAAATGGTTCTTAGTCTTTGTGGCGTTTACGAAAAACACATACCGAAACATCGTCTTCTAACAAGTTCCACTGCTGCAGTCTTGATCCAAGTAACTCTGCCTTACATTTTGGAAGTTGTAAATCTCTTACAAGATCATTTAATTCTGACTGTGTTATTGTGTGCGGTTGGTGGCATGACGTGCTCGGTATAAAATCAGGATCTCTTGACGTTGATGGCATATCTTCTTCCTGACGAATCACTCGATCGCCATGATCTGATTCGTTTTCTGATTCGCAAGTGTAGGATTCTGGGGGTTTTGGAATAGGATTTTCGTCACTGTGGGGCACAGGTCTCATCGCAGATGGTATGTTTGGGTAGATAATAACCGATTTTTTTTTCTTGGACATACCTGTGGCTTGTCCAATACAAGGTACCATGCAAAAGTAACAATCATTAATATGATTTGTAGGCTCTCTCCAAACCATTGGGACAGCAAAGCGCATAGACCGTTTTTTGCCATTTAACCAGCTTCTCAGACTTGAAGCACATGTATTACAGCAGATGTGGGGTGCCCACTGTTTGTCTTTATCACCTAGTTTACAACCGAAATAAAGCTGATATGCCTTTGTTATTAGTGGAGTAATGGACCGTCTCTGAGACGCGAAAGTCACATCACCACACACGTAACAAAACTGATCTGGATTGTTTACACACTTTCGAGGCAACTGAGGAAAAAATGGCTAATATAAAACAATATAATGTACACGTATGTATGACGTAACACAATTATGCCGATTACATCATCTTTCCTTGCCGAATATAAAAATGTAGCAGGTGCATTCTTGTGAATTACAGTATATTAACACTGTCACAGCAGGAACACATCTCTAAAACTTGGACTAATATTGAAAAAATAAGTTTCATTCCGGTTTTAGCACATTAAAAATAGTAATATTTTGTTGATTTTATTAAGGATATTTTTTGGCTGTTGATCAGTGTTATCTATTACGATATCAGCAAAAGGTTTTCATCAAATTTTCTTGAGATTTGGCAACATCATCTCACGACCTTCACTTTCAGTCCTCCATGCGACCCGTAGCGTATTTTTTGTATCGAAGACGCAACTCAACGGGTGGATCGAGCATATTAGGTTTATTTGAATATACTTCTGTATGGTATCGAATAAAGGAAACCCGTTTCCTTGGAGAAATTGAAGTACGAGTGCTGGCGGACTGGTTCGGATTTCTGAGTGAGCAGTTTTTGTTGTATTACGTCGGTAACCCGAAGAGTTTGTTCAGAAGACCGTTCACTGGATTATTTTCTCTAGTGTGCATTGTGAGAATGGAGATTGAACCGGAGTACTTCGCTGGATAACATTCTCCGTTGTATGAACTTAAGCCTCTTTATGCATGCGACAAAATGACACATCAGATATATCTTACTCTATATGGATAGAAAAGGATAGGCTGAAGCTACCTTCTGATAAGACGGAAGTGGTAATACTATCCGACACATGAAATTCGTAAAAGATATAAGACACAACACTATTAAGGCAAATAAAGCCGTTGCAACCCTCATTCGTTTATTGGTATCTGAGTGATGCCCCCATTAGTGATAGGTGTACGATCTTGACAGGGATGGCAAACTTGACTATGATATATGGACCTCCTGTCTTCACGAAAGCTTTGACGAAAGTATCGACAGTTAATGCTCAAAGCCCAGCAGAAGGTGATACCGCGTGTAACCTGCGCATATAAAATGCTATCCAGATGTTCTATTAGTGCTGACTATTGCTCCAATTGCTTCGCCGATAGTCGAGAGATATATTATGTGCATCATAAAATGTGCTCGAAGCTAGAAACGACGGAACGGAGGAGCTTCTTGTTAGACTACAGGAGAGTTGGGATACAACTTGTCATTGTGCATGAAGTACCAGGGTGATTCCAGATATTCAAGCCTTGATTGACCAGGGAGCGATGCGGCTAGATCACTACACTGCACATGACTGTTTTTACCTAAAGAGGGTAAGAAAGAGAGATCACGCAAACTGCATACATCATTGCAATTAGGATGATGATACTCCTTAAAATGTAATGTTGGAGTTGCCATCCGGCGAAGGAGCCTTACTGCTAACACTTTTTCCAGTAATCTGAGCAAGGGTAAATGGGTTGAGATTCAACCGATAGTGAGGCGGGTGATGCTCAGCAAAGCGACAGAAACAAACCAGAAAACCAACAATTGGTTTCTATTTACTGGGTTGCACATATACGTACTACGGGGAGAACGGGATAGCTAATTCCGTAGGTATTGATACCGCTAGGATGAAATGCTGCAAACCTCACCGTTGTAGGATTAGTAGATGGTAACTGAGGGGTTTAGTGGGTATACCGCATTTCCGAAGAATCCCACACTTCTGACAAGAGAAGCTTACTGGTTAATACTGACATGCTCTGTTGGTGGCTATGAAAGATTTGCCCTGACAAAAAAGGTATCCTCTGCCTCCCATACATATAAGAAAAGAATATAGTGATCGCAGTTTTCTTTTATTCTACACAAACAGTCTTTTTGGTCCGATTCTGTGTAGTATCGGCGCAAACTGAGACTGCAAGTGGCCGCTTCCGAGCTATAGTTGTCAAACTCCATCAAATAACATAGGTGAAAATCAAGCAAGGGGGCCGATCTAGTTATATTTGATCTCTATTAAGAAGCTAAAGGATGATGGCAGTCCAGGGCCAGGCGACCGAGGCGGTACCACCCGCTGACCTTTTTCCACTCTTGGATTGTCCGGGAGGAGGGCGGACTCGGGGGAACAACAGCCATGATAAGACCTCCTTCATGAACATATACGGGATTAACAGCAACATTATTGCCGTTTACCACTATCCTCAGTGAGACCGCCCCATCATGGTCTTTTTGGTGGAAACCAAAATTTGATGAAGAAGGATGCAGTGAAATTTGT